GTCGCCTATGGCCAATTTTGGGTATGCTAGTTTTTTGCGATTTTGCGAGTGCGCGCAATTTTTACGCTTGACATGTTTGGTGTCTATTTACCCGACGTGACCCCATCTTTTATATTTTACCAAAAAAGTGGGTAATATTAGTTGTTTTATAGCATAATGTAAAAAAAAACTTTTTTTTCTCAAAATTTTCAGTAATTTCTCCTGAATATAGTAAAAAATAAAACCCGCAGTGGTGATTAAATACCACCAAAAGAAAGCTCTATCTGTCCCCAAAAAATGGTATAAAATTCATTTCAGTACAGCGTTGCGTGACGGAATAAATGTCAGTCAAAGTACTGCAGCGCTGAACACTGAAAAATGGCATGGCCAGGAAGGGGGTCTAAACACCTGGTCTTCAAGCAGTTAAAGAATCATTAAAAAAAAAAAAAAAAATTTTTAAAGTCCACCACCACCCAAATACAAATGCAGATATCGGGTCGGGTGCGCCTACGTGCGAAAACAACGATTGCGCCTATTGTGCCGCACATACATACGTTACATATAACCGCGAATGTCGGGGTGTGAGCAATAATTTTAGGGCCATTAATTACTGATAACACTAAACTGATGACCATTAAAAGCGTTTTAAGCATCGCCTATGGCCAATTTTCAGTCTGGTCGTTTTTTGCGGGCGCGCGCAATTTTAAGGCTTGACATGTTTGGTGTCTATTTACCCGACGTGACCCCGACTTTTATGTTTTACCAAAAATATGGGTAAGAATAGATGTTTTATAACATAACGTAGGGGAACTTTGTTTTTTTATTAAATTTACTGTACTTTTTTCATTATATAGTAAAAAGGCTATAGTCTGGTCATGCTGACTGGTGACATTTTTGACTGACTGGTGAGACACCCTAAAACACATTCCTATATTCAAATATATTTCTATAAACTGTAAATAGATTATACTTTCACTTTAAAAAATATACTTAGTCCTATGCAGTAAAACCTTCATCAAAAAATAAAATAAATGCGATGTCTAACTCTTCTGTCCCTTTCACTCTGTGTTAAACCATGCCATGTCTGAGCTCCAGGAGTAGTAACGCAGGAGGATCTCTCACAGCCGAGTGTGAGCCTTTCACATTTCACGCCACCTAATGCCAAATCCGTGAGGTCTAATTTATGATTCATGCACAAACGGCTTTCCGTCACTTCTAGGAATCTTATGTTTGACACGCTTTAATCAGGCAGCATCAATTAAAACTAATAACTTTTGGGAAACCGACTTTGGCTGCGTACCAGTCAGCGCTGCAATTACATGCTGGAGCATAAATTGCTGTTAGCGATTTTATTTACCTAAAACAGTCAGTGACTTCATCTGATCCCAGAGCCACCTGCTGAAAATTCCCCTAGTCATACTGGTTCAGGTCTGAGCCGACATTGTTAGCCATCTATGTCATTATACGCTCATCTGCGGGATTTATGCTGTGTGTGTTTTATTATATATATATATATCTATATATAT